TCATTCTGTATATACAGGGTGTCTCACATTCTCCTCCGGGCATTTTGTGGGGACGTAGAGTGGGTTGATGTGAACATAAAAGTCCTATACCGTTTAGCGATATTCGCAATAATAGTCGAGATATTAATTTAAAAAATTAAGGAAAAACGCACGCTGAATGGTAGAGGACGGACCGCTCGAATCACAGCGCGGCCCAGTAATAAAGCGCGCGGATGTCGCCCGTGGTGATTGGAAGACAATGCACCACTGCCTATATTTACACTGCTGCGCTTCTATGTCTTGCCGTACCGCGCCAAGATAAGAATAAGCAGTGATGCATGGTCTTCCAATCACCGCGTGCGACATCCGCGCGCGACATCTGCGCGCTTTATTACTGGACCGCGCTGTGACTCGAGCGGTCCGTCCTCTACCATTCAGTGTGCGTTTTTCCTTAATCTTTTTTAATTAATATCTCGATTATTATTGCGAATATCGCAAAACGGTATAGGACTTTTATATTCACATCAACCCATTCTACGTCCCCACAAAATTCCCGGAGGAAAGTGTGAGACACCCTGTATTTATGTGTGTGTGTGTGTGTGTGTGTGTGTGTGTGTGTGTGTGTGTGTGTGTATACAAACATACGCTTATTTATAAGGTGTAGTAAAAAGAAACCCATTATTTTTGCATGAAATTGAAGGCTTTATTTAGCATAGTTAGAATGATCCGATTTAAGTCAAATATGCACCATTTTGTTCGATAACTTGTTGCCATTTTGAAGGTAATTCCATTATGCCTCTCTCATAGAAACCCTTGTCCCTATTGGCAAAAAACTGGGACAGTCGATTTTCACAAGCTTCTCTTGAGGCGAATTTTTCACCAGCAAAATCATTCGCCATAGACAGGAGCAGGTGGTAATCACTTGGTGCCAGGTCCGGACTATAAGATGGATGCATAAGAACCTCCCAACCAAGCTCCCGGAGCTTCTGGCGAGTCACTATCGATGTGTGTGGCCTGGCGTTGTCCTGATGGAACACAATTCCTCTTCTATTGGCCAAAGCTGGCCGCTTCTGGGTGATTGATTCCTTCAGATGGTCCAATTGTTGACAGTACAGGTCCGAATTAAGAGTTTGGCCGTAGGGGAGCAGCTCATAGTGGATGATTCCCTGCCAATCCCACCAAACATACAGCAAAGCCTTCCTGACCGTCAATCCTGGTTTGGCCACCGTTTGCGCCGGCTCACCGCGTTTTGACCATGACTGTTTTCGCTTGACGTTGTCGTAAGTGACCCACTTTTCATCACCAGTCACCATCCGCTGCAGAAATGGGTCGATTTTGTTGCGATTCAGCAGCGATTCGCAGATGGAAATTCGGTCCATGAGGTTTTTTTGCGTTAACTCGAGTGGTACCCAAACATCGAGCTTCTTTTTGTATCCAGCTTTATTCAAGTAGTTCCAAACGGTTTTTTATGCAATGTTTAGCTCCTGGGCAATCGAAACAGTGCTTACATGACGGTCGGACTCAACGATTTCCATTATTTTATCGACATTTTCGACAATTGGCCTCCCAGAGCGTGGTGCATCTTTGACATCAAAATTACCGGAACGGAATCGACGAAACTAAAATTGCGCGTGATTGGCTGTTACAGTATCAGGACCATAAACACTACTCACATTTTCAGCCGCCTGGTTTGCGTTTTCGCCTTTATCGAAGCAAAACTGTAAAATATGGCGTATTTTCTCTTTGCTGGTGTCCATCTTTGACGCGCGCTCAAACAATACTGAGTCAAACAATTACAAAACTGTCTGAGAAGTTTTTTTTAGCACGAAATCTTATCTTTCTAACGCCATCTAGTGTAAACCGATCGCACTTATATAACGCGAGATACACATTATTAAAGCCATCTATTGGAAAAATAATGAATTTCTTTTTACTACACCTTATATATATTTATATGTATATAATAACTCCTTTTCTTTCCATTTATGTCATGACGAAAAACGTTCACTATACGAGTAAGCTGTTATAATTACATTTGAATTCATTCTCTTACATCGCCAAATGTTTTGAACGACAGGACAATAAGTTTGCGAGCAGTGATCTTCATTGGTCTGTTAGACATAATCATCATTAAAACGAATCTGCATGCCGTCTTATCCGGAAGACGATACCACTCCAGTTCACAAGATGTAACTGCTACCTTCTCCGCCTATTATTACAAAGAGAAAGCTGAAATTTACGAACTTTTGCAGCTAGACATCCTAGATGAGCGATTCCAGACGTATTAAGATGTGTACATCAGACGCTCACATTTATGAAACATACAAGGATGTAATTGCATGTACCTAATCGAAGAAACAATTTGCATAAGACAAACATGTTACCTTAATTATGAAAGATGAAGATAACGTTAATGATCCGCGTGTATTAGCAGTTCTAGCAATGATAAACTTGAATCCTCATATTTCGAGTAGAGAACTGCAACGTAATTTAGAAATTCCTTATGTCACTGTGCGGAGGATTTTACAAAGACATAAATTCCATCCCTACCATATCACTTTAACCCAAGATGTAAGTGAAAATGATATGAGGCTAAGAAGACAATTTTGTCGTTAGGCTTTACGAATGATAAGAGAAGATCTAACTTTTTTTCAGTATGTTCTCTTCAGTGACGAAAACTCATTTCATAACAATGGACAACTCAATAGGCATAAATATATTTATTGGTCCACATACAATCCTCACTGGACTCAACGTGTTGATAATCAACATCGTTAGAGTTTAAATACTTGGTGCGGAATTGTAAATGAATATTTGATTGGTCTATACATTTTTGATAACCGTTTAAATGGGGAAACTTTCTTTCTTGCAGAATAAATTGCCTGAGCTTTTAGAAGAGGTTGATTTTGCTACTCGATAAAAATATGGCAGCAAGATGATGCGCCACCCCATTCTCATAGTATTGTGATGGAATACTTCAATAACATCTTTCATGAAAGATGGATAGGGAGATATGGATATATTCGGTGACCTCCATGGTCTTCTGATTTAACTTCGTGTGATATTTTTGTGGGGCTACATAAAAAATATTGTTTACAAAACTCCGCCGACATCTGCAGGAGACATGAAAAATCGAATAACTAATGTTTGTCGTAGCATTCCTCAAAATATTTTAATTTCAACAGTAGAAAATTTTGAGAAACGATTGAGGCTATGTTTGTATGAAAATGGAGTTCCATTTGAATATCTTATCAAAGGCTAAAAACATATTCAAATTGATCTTGCTTTAGTTGGCCGCATCAGTGATCGGTCTTGCCTTAATTTTCAAGGTCCATAACTCGGAAAGTACTCAATGAAAGGTAACTTTATTATAGTGTTTTGGAAAGCTCTAGCGATAAGCTACAAGAATATGTAATAAAAAATAGGGGTTTCCGTTAAAAATAACATTAATGACCTTGACCTGATTTGGACAAGGTCACTTAAGGGCAAGTCCATATTTTCATCATGTGCCCCCCTTCAAGTCATGAAACTTTCTTTGGAAAAATTTTTCAATAATATCATCGATACACGAGATAATCGACCATATTACTTAAAGTGAAACACCCTATATACTAGTATTATATAATATATATATATAATACTTTTATAACACAATATATTTTAACGTTATTTATAATAACATTATTTATAATAACTATATTTGTAATAACTATATATGTAATAATATATATTGTTATATAATATATTATATAAATGTGGAATATAATATAAAATATACATTTTTATAATTTTAATATATTGAATTTATGAACACATTTTTCAGAAAATTCTTGTAATTTACTTCTTCTAATTTTTTAATTTTAATAAAATTAAAATGAATTAAAATTACAAACCACTAATATGCAGTAGTATAGAATACAAATTATTGCTGTAGTCCCTGATATTTCTATAAAACATATATGTTGAAAAGTGCACTCCACTAATTGCAAAAAGCTGAAATATATTTATCACAGCGTGATAAAACCGTAACATGAAAATAGTATATCATACTCATAGTAAAAATAGTAAATAATACTCATCTTCGTATATCAGAGTGTCGTATTTAGCGAATGCAATAAATGAGTAGATTATAGGAGCAATCATAGTCAGTTTGGCATGCGACTCTTCCTCAACGTAGAACACACAATAGAGAAAACCAGGAACGACTATGACGCACACAAGGGAGCAGCAGGTTGTTATTAGAAGTATTTTACATATCATTTCAACGGCAGACAGATCTCTTTAGAGTAGAGGCCAAACACCAAGTATTCGTAGAAAAAATTGACTCTGTTTAGTGACATATTCTATATCTTGCTCGTAATATTTATTTGTACCAGCCTGCGAAAGTGGTCTCTTTATTGCGAATAAAAAGAAAAGTTTTGAAAGAAGTTAAGAAATTAATTAAAAAAATTAAAAAATGCGTTTTGGATTTAAAATCCTCGATAACACATAAAAAGATACCGACAATATTCTATATGCTCCAAATGTTTGCAAGTCGCGAGCTCGCTTGCTACTAATCGCCAGTAAACAACGAGATCGACTGATGCGAGCATGCGAAACGTAAGCATTAAGGGAGCGCATTTTACACATTAATATTCTAAGTCAGGAATTTCCGCTCCGTCAGGAACGCTTTCCGATCCTCGCAAATTCATTGCGTTCCTTGCGCCCGCGTTGTCGACCTTCTTCCAATCCTCTTCGAGAAACTTTACACAGCGTCTGATTTGATCTTCATGATTTGACAAACTATAATATTTGATTATAGTAATGAAACCATAGAGCAACATTGTAATCAAATGAAGTCGAACACGAGTCTTCTTTTCAAATATCCAATAAACCGTGCCGAGCACCAGGGCGAAATAAAAAAAAGTGTATGAGACAGAAATTCGCAGAAACTTACTAATTTTCTCGCAAGCAGATGTTTTTCCATCAAAATTTGGCCAAACACCGATTAAGGATAAAAAGTGGCGAGTTAGTTACAAACTAATCTTAATGTCATTCTGGTAATGATTGTGTGGCACCTCGCACATTATGAAGATCGCTTTGCGATCCTGCTATGCAAAAGTTACTTTATTCACCGAAGAATGTTGTACTAGCTGCAAAACGGATAAGCCGCGAGTCAAATCAGGACTGATCGTTGAAGTAATAGTCCGCAATAAGGTAAACTTGCCATTAGAATGCGCTTGCGCGCATCAAATCTCTAATATTGCGGGAGTCAGAGAAATTAAACGTAACAAAGTTTGTAAAGCAACTTGCTTTTGTAAGGTCGATTTTGCTTTCGTCTAGAAAATATTTTTATTCGCTAGCTTTCACGACATCAGAAAGTGACTCCATCGGACTTAGCTTCTATATCCATTGAAATCCGTAATTTTAATCATGAAATCGTAAAATAGTTAAAGAAATAGTAAAATAATATACGTTGATATTCTATAAAAATTTTGGATTCTCGAAAAGTCATCAATCGAAAATTAAAATTCACATTAGAAGTTAATGGTATGTAAAATATGTGTGTGTAATTCTTCATACGTATACGCTGACATAAGTGGTACAAAATTAAGGAAGAGAATAAAATTTTAAAAATAATGTGTCAATTACTACATTATATTGTTCCTATTTTAAATTTCAACTGTCATTCAAGGGTTAACTTTCCAGTAGAGAAGAAGTTCTACAACAAGAGTGAAAGACTAAAACAGTGCTTATACATTTAAAATAACTTTCAAGTAATTTAATTTCTTCCATATATAGTAGAGATTTATGCTGAAATATTACCAAGTAACTCTAATAATATTCTCTACAAATATGAATTCTCTACAAATATGAATCCGGTATTAAATTTAAAAATCAACTACAGATATTATTTTTAAACAGTAATTGAATTTTTCGCTTATTTCGTAAAAAGTAAATTTTGGCTGGCAATTTTCAAATGTCACATACGATTTGATGACTAGATAATTGATTAATATAATATTTTTACCCTTCATTTTCCGAACGTCTTTCACATTCTCATTCTTCCATTATACTCTCGATTACAGAAGCGCATTTAAATGGTTATACTTCGAAGTATATTAAAATATGCAGCAGATGTTTTTAGAATCTGAAAAAAATAAAAGATATCCCA